ATGATATTATAAAGTTTAACTTTTAATCCAGCGAAAGTGCTATCTCATATTTTATAAAAATATTAAATTATAGACTACCCTTTTTAGAGTATAAGTGCTACTTTGACCTTTCAATCATATTTATTTCTATTTATGTATCTTTCTATGTATTGTCCTATATGTAAATGTATGGAACGCCATAGCTGCCTGAAGGTCATTTTCAGGTGGTATAACCTTTATGTGAAGTGGTGAAGTCATTATATATAGTGGTAAAATCATTGTATTCAATGAAAACTTTATTATATGCAGTGGTTTTATCATTATATACAGTGATAAAATCATTATATTCATTGAAAACTTTATTATATGCAGTGGTTTTATCATTATATACAGTGATAAAATCATTATTTTCATTGATAACTTTATTGTATGCAGTGGTTTTATCATTATATTCAGTGGCAATGTCATTATATGTAGTGGTTAAATAATGTAATGAAGTGATAATATCGATATATTATGTTGTAAAATCATTATATGCAGTGGTTTTTCCATAATATACATTACTGAAATCTTTCCGTGATGTGATGAATTCAATATATACAGTACAAATATAATTCGTGTGATAAAGCAATCATTACATTATATGAAACCCGCTGCATGTGGAGTGCCAAGTTAATTTCATTCAGTGCGACACCTTTACATGAAGTGAAAAATCTATTATGTGCAGTACTAACATCATTATATTATATAGTAAAATTATTATATATATTCCTTAAATCATGCTTTGCAGTGGTAACATCTTTATATGAGGTGGTTAATTAATTATATGATGTTGTTAATTTGTTATATGATGTGGTCAAATCTTTATATGCATTAGTCGTTTCATGTTATGCAGTGGTAACTTCTTTATCATCATCTAAACTGGTCCTTTTATTTAAAAAAATGCGCGGAGTTCCAGTTTAAAGAGTGTTTGAAAATAGGAAATCCGGGCCGTGGCAAATTAAAAGCCGGGGCTATTCGAGATTTTTCTAATTTCAGATTTTATTATACAGCTTCCTGATTTTATCAACTGTGCTGAAATTTTAAGACTCGTTTTTATAGATTAATGTGTATTCGCTGTAAAAATTGCATTTAATTTTAAAATACTTAGTAATTTAGATTTTCTTGGCGATTGTTGATTTCCAAGTTCAGTGGTGGATCCAGGAATCTTGAAAAGGGGGGCCCGACAAGTTTTTGGTCGGGGTAGGTAGCCCGCAGCCAAACCAAAAAACAATTGATTTATTAAATCTTATGTATATTTTGGACACAAGGGGGGGGGGGGGGAGCGGGTCCCATGGGCCCTCTCTGAATCCGCCCGTGAGGTTGGTAAATCGGGTAGGCAATCAAGTAGACATTTTACGTGTTTTGTTTGTTTGTTGTTTTTTGTTTGTTTGTTTGTTTTTTTTGTTTTTGTTTTGTTTTTTTTTTTTTTTTGCCATATTTGACAGAAAGCTAATAAACTTTTAAATTATTCTGATGTTAAAAATTACTCATTTTTTGAAAGGCATTTTTTTAGTGAAATGACACGTTTAAGAAAACCGGTTCACATAGGCGTCGGAACCGGCGGGGGGGGGGGGGGGCTATTGCCCCCCCTTTTTTTTTTTACAAAGGTAGACATAATATAGGCATTGAAAATTCGGGCGTAGGTCTAGCCACCCCCCCTCCCCAATTTCTACAGGCACGATTCATTGTAGTGGAAGGATAGTGTTTAAAAGAATTTGGTACTGAAAGATGTTCGAACCCCCCCCCCCCCACACACACACACACACCCGAAATAGGATTTTCGGGTTTGGAGAAAGAACAATTTTCTTTCTTTCTTTTTTTTTTTTTGCTTGTCAAGTTTTTTACAGGTTTGATTTTTTTTTTCTATTTCAATTAGCCACCCCACTATCAATTTCCTTCCGAGGCCAATGGTTCATTAAAATCGGATTTGATCTCCCGGAAGTCAAACATAAAAAATCCGAAATACTTGTTCATTATCTTCATGTCATTTGATAAAATATAAATTAATTAAAGTATTATCACATATACATGTAATTATAGGACTATTAATGCAAAGCCTTGTGTCAAACTTTAATTACGCGTAAGTTGCTTGGTTTAAGGATATCCGATCCTCAGCCTTGAAGGATAACTCTTAATTTTATCATTTTATTCAAAAAGGCTAAAATGATTTTAATTTGGTTGTTTGTTTGCTGTTTAACGTCCCTCTCGAGAACTTTTCACTCATATGGAGACGCCACAATTTGCCAGTGGAGAGCTGCAAATTTTGTCCTATACTCGGCACTTACGGCCATTGAGCAGTGAGGGATTTTTTTCGTTCCAACACCTACTGTGGCACGGGACCTCGGTTTATGGCTTTATGCGGTCTCTTACGAAGGACCGGTCTCAACGTCCCACTGTCGGATTCGAACCCGTGACGTAAGGATTGACTCCTTATTCCGCGTCTCTTAGAGCAGACACTCTGATCACCGTGCCACGTTGGCGACGGCAAAGATGAAACTTGAAAATGAAATGTTTTCATGCAGCAATTTTTATTTTAAGCATTTCAATGTGATTTAAGGTTTTCTGAAGTCTTAGAAACAGTCTTATAAATAGTTGATATTAGTAAGTTAACATCCCCCCCCCCCCCCCGAAAAAACTATTAAACAAATTACATATTTAACGTAATCCAGTTTCCTTCCATCTGCTAGCATATAGATACATGTACCAGGGCACATTTGCATATTATGAAATTAGAAATGATTTATGGTGTTTTGCACCAGGTTCTTCCCGGATGATCGGATCTGGTTTAATAATCCTTTTTTAATGAAAATGTGTATTTTGCATAAAAATAGCATTTTCAAATAAAGAAATAACTATAAAAAAGAAACAGTTTTTTTTAGTTAAAATACAGTGTTTAACATCGGAATAATTTTTAAGTTTATTAGATTTTTATCAAATATATGTCAAAAAAACACACACACATAAAATATCGCCAACCCAGTCTACCCATTTTACCAACATGGAAATCAACAATCGCCAAAAAAAAAAAAAAAAAAAAAAAAAAAAAATCTAAAATACTAAGTACTTATAGCACAATAGATAAAATATTAAATCAGAAAATTGAAACTGCCTACCAATTTTACTTGAAACCAAAAATCGTCAAGAAAATCTAAAATACCAAGTATTTAAATACAATTTTTACAGCGAAAACACATTAGCCTAAAAAAAGAGTCTGAAAATTTTAAATCAGAAATTTGAAAAATCTCGAATAGTCCCGGCTTTTAATTTGCCACGGCCCGGGTTTCCTATTTTCAAACACTCTTTAAACTGGAACTCCGCGCATTTTTTTAAATAAAAGGACCAGTTTAGATGATGATAAAGAAGTTACCACTGCATAACATGAAACGACTAATGCATATAAAGATTTGACCACATCATATAACAAATTAACAACATCATATAATTAATTAACCACCTCATATAAAGATGTTACCACTGCAAAGTATGATTTTAGGAATATATATAATAATTTTACTATATAATATAATGAAGTTAGTACTGCACATAATAGATTTTTCACTTCATGTAAAGGTGTCGCACTGAATGAAATTAACTTGGCACTCCACATGCAGCGGGTTTCATACAATGTAATGATTGCTTTATCACACAAATTATGTTTGTACTGTATATATTGAATTTATCACATCACAGAAAGATTTCAGTAATGTATATAATGGAAAAACCACTGCATATAATGATTTTACAACATAATATATCGATATTATCACTTCATTACATTATTTAACCACTACATATAATGACATTGCCACTGAATATAATGATAAAACCACTGCATATGATAAAGTTATCAATGAATATAATGATTTTATCACTGTATATAATGATTTTATCACTGTATATGAAGATAAAACCACTGCATATAATAAAGTTTTCATAGAATATGATGATTTTACCACTATATATAATGACTTAACCACTTCACATAAAGGTTGTACCACCTCATATAAAATGAAAATGACCTTCAGGCAGCTATGGCGTTCCATATAAATGCATGCTATATGTGTTGTTTGTTGTTGTGTCTTTGTGTGTGTAAATTATGTCTGTTGTGCTGCATGCCATTGAAACTTTAACTATGTTTATACGTGTATATTGTCATTTATGTATTTTATGTATATGTCTTACTAATCTTGTCGGTCAAAAGCTCTACAGAGCTTATGTTATTTGTTCTAAAAATCCGACTTTAAATAAAAAATTTCTGATTCTGATTGATTTCTTGGATGGTACTGAGATTTTTTTCTCCGAATAATTCTCTCTTTTTTCTTATCTTTTTTTCTTTTTTTTCCTTAAAAAGATGTGTACGCACTTGCGTATTTGCGTATAGGCAGCTACGCGCCTGTTTGCAAATACAACCTGTCATATATTTGATTTTCTGTACTGAATACTCCGTTTACCAGATCAAGACAAAGGGCTTGTGGCGACCTGTTGACAGGGGATGCTTACTCATCCATGGCACTTGATCATATTTCTGATGCACAGGTGCTTAAAGACAGGACCCCCCTTTTATATAAACCCTCGGTTTTTTTTTCAACTTTTTTTTCAATATAAATTATCGGGAAAATTGTAGGCTTAATTTTTCACTATAGAGTGAAAAGAGATTTTTATAATATGCTTTTTTTTCAAATAAATTGATGGATAAGATTATACAAGTATGTCAATGGTCTATATCGGGGGCCGGGTGGGGGTGGGGGGTGGGGAGAGAAGGCCTGCTCTCAAGCACCATGTTCTTATGTATAGATATGCATCAAGTCTCAGAATACATTTAAACTAAAAATTATATTCTTTTCATTGTTCATTAAAGTTTAGACTAAATACTGTTAACAAGAATGAATGGATATTGGACCATTTTTACGGGAAAAGAATTCTCGTATCGTTCCCATTTTGTGCATTATAATTTTTTTAAACGTTCCCTTGACCGAGATTATTCAGAGCTTCTGTTTTACTTCCGGTCACAACGTCAACTCCCCTTCTTCACTAAATTTTCAATAATATATTTAACAAGAGACTGTAAAATGAGCTGAAAGAATACACACAACGATGATCAAGGCTATTCTAGTTTTCAATAATCACGGAAAGCCCAGGCTTTCTAAATTTTACCAATATTTCGTAAGTTTCAACATCTTGATTTAGTGACTTGACATTTTTTAGTAAAGAAAAATATGAGCAGAGTCTCGAAAATCAAGTCAAATGTGTTGAAATTTTATTAGCTACATAATCTGTTGCAAATAAGCTTTAAAGGTTCAAAATTTATTGTTATCTATGGATGACTGTAGATGTTTTTCAGTAACTTTTCATAGCCTAAAACACAGCAGCTGTTTTGTTATTGTTGCTGAATTACCATCCTCTGTGCAGCTTAGTCTCTCAATTGTTGTAGATTTATTTATATTTGATAGTTGCAGTTTTTGAAACTAAATCCTCATTAAAAACACTACAAAACAAAAGGTAACATTGATGCAAAGCATCAAATCAGCTGCGAAAACTCTCCACGTGCTTGATACCCTATGATGCTGCATGGTGCAGAGATGGTATCACAATAAATGTGATGTGTCAAAAATAATGTTGTGGCATATTCAAAATAATTTTTTTTAGCTCTACCACCCTTTTTTAACTAAAGTTTTTAGTACTTTTAATATGTTGACAGTATGACTGTTAGGGCGAGTAAAGATACCTATGGACCAATTTAATCTAAATCTGCCTCTTCAAACCACACATGGCATTTGCAACATTTAGGCTCTGATGTCACATGGCATCGTATGTACTTGCATTTCCAAAACAATATCTGAAAAGTGCAAATTTTTTCAAAGAACATTTAATCTACTATTTATCTGCAATATCTATGAAATTAAGGTGAGCTTATATTTTGGTGAACTTGTGTTGTTACCGTGATAATGTAGTTTGCGGCACAAAGCAATTTGCAAAGGATTGTGGATCTTGAGGTAACTGTGGAAAAAGAATTCATTTTGATCAATGTGAAAGTCCGCATTTTTATATTGCCCAGGCAGTGCATATATTCCTATCTGCTAATGTGTAGGCTAGTGAGAAGTCACAGATTTAATCTGAGGTGCAAAGTGTGTGTAGGCAAGGAGAAGGTCGCCCCCCTCTCGATATATAGGGATTTGGGGAAGGGGGGGTAGGTGGGATCTTTTTTGCGAAGACATCTACGATTTTCATCTACAATTTGACAAGTGAAAATAATATTGTAAACATTTCAGTTTCAGTTTATATCATGATATGAAGACTACTTAACAAAATTGAGAACTTTCAACTTATTTTTACTCTGCTTAGAAAATATGGAAACTTCCTTACTGAATAATCTAAATACAATAAATACATTTAATTTCCTACTAACCAAAAAATTTATTTCCAGTAATATTAATTTTATTTCCTGCACTTATCATGGCCTCCTGTTGCTATCGGTGATTTTGAAATTCTCTGATACAGACTTAATAAAACACTTGAGTTTCAGATTTAAAAAATTCCAACTATAGGAAGTTTTGTCATTAAATATATAGTAGGACTGTCAACGTTGGATAGGTATAAAAGTACGGATTGCTAAGTATGCTATTTTGGCATTTGCAGCAAAATAAAATTAATAGATAAGTATTATTATCATCTTTTCTTCCTTTTTTCCAACCAATTTTTTTATCCCTAAGAAAATGATGTGTAGGCTACAGCCTTTTTGCCGATATGGAATATACGCTACTGCCAGGCATGGTCATTAGAGCTTTCAAGTGCAAGCGGTGCCGCACGCTGCTCTCACTATTAAAATCCGGAAATTTTTAACGATTTTTTTTTTTATATATCTTCTGTACCCCCATTCTGGGAAGTACTTCTTGTAAGAACTTTTTAATCTATGAAATCATCCATTTATACCTGAAAAAAAATTAAGTAACTGTATAATTGAAAACAAGCATTATGTCATATAATTTAAAAGCAATTTAAAAAAAAAATCTTTAATTCACAAGTTTTCTACATGTTATTTATGAGGAATTGTTTTATCAAAGTAAAAAAAAAAATGTCTCCATTTCCCGATGGGCACTTTCTAACACAACCCTAAATAGATCTGTCACTCCTGCTGCCGATAATAAACAAGTTGACCATTTAACATTGGATAACTAGGGTTCATCTTGTCTTTTTCCTCATTATGACAGACATGAGTGAAAGATGAATTCAGCATTGGGTATCTGATGGTGAAACAGGTCTAGAGTAGTTAGCTTGTCATAGGGATAGTTAAATTAGTATCGTTTATTTTGACGGAACATTGGATAGTAATGTTGTACGTTACTGACAGAATTCCTTAATTTCTTGTTCACAGCCAGAAGATGTTCAGCAGCAAATCATCCGCGAAACATTTCATCTTGTGTCTAAACGAGACGATAATGTGTGCAATTTCCTGGAAGGAGGAACGTACGTAGTTCAAAGGAATCTCTTAAGTTTTGATTTCTTTCAGGTGAAAAATCCTCATACTGTGCTTAAAGTGTACTTTACTTTCATTAATTTTTGCACAGGATCAAATATTGTAGATTTTGCAAAAAATCAAATATTGTAGATTATGCAAAACAAAAAAAAAAAAACAAAAAAAAAACAAAAAAAAAAATTGGAGGGGTATTTTGGTATGTAAATTCATGGACAGCTTCCTCATTCTATTCTATCTGTAATAAAGTTTATTGTTGGTTGATCACCTAATCTCAACCTTGAGAACAACAAAAATTTATGTTCAATGAAAAATTAGGAAAACCACTGTAAATAATTTTAAAGTATATTCTAACATTTAAATTATCAACAGTTAATAATTCTAACATGTCTAATGATTTTTAATCTATTTTTTTAATGATACATTTTTCCGCTTTGTAGAAATATGAATATTATGTAGGATTTTCTTATTTTATTTAAGGTTGATAGGGGGCTCTGACTATAAAATCATATACAGACATTACGCCACTCTGTTCTTTGTTTTCTGTGTGGATTCTTCAGAGAGTGAGTTAGGAATTCTGGACTTGATACAGGTCAGTGAAATCTATCCTTTGATCAATGATTGACTGAATCTTTCATGTGTAAATATTTTATGTGTGGTTATCTTAAAGTAATTTTTGTTCACAACTATGTGATGTGGCCCAAATTATTATTTTTAAATATATAGTATGTGTATCACAGAAATTTTACAAGCTCTAACCAATTTCTGTGGTATCAAAGATTCCTAAACTAGTCGACTTGTGCTAAGTTTTGAATACAGTAAAACCTGATTATGGGGAAGTCATGGGGACCTTTGAATTTATTTTGCTATTATCTGTAATTTGTTATATTCATATAATAACCTCGTAAAAGTATTATTTTAATATTATAATAGAAAAATCCAAACATACATGTACATGTTTTCCTTCTTGTGACTATTGAATATTTATGTACAAAACCTACATAAGAGAACTAAAGTTTTCTATTTAATAAAATTTCAGTTCTAAATATGTATGAAAAAATAATTTTAATCAAATATTTTAAATTTTGGAACTTTAAAAAATTTATATTATAAAAGATTTGATTTTTCTTATTTTTAACCTCTATGGGAGACAGAATCAATTTGCTTGATATATCAGAGTTCATTACAACCGAAAAATTTTAAAAGGAATTGTTAAAAAGTGGCTGGAGATGCCAAAAACTTTGCTTTGTCTGTAAATTTGCCTTTATCCATGTTTGTACAAATCAAGTTTTATTGTGCTAAAAAAAGCCAAAACTTTTATTAAAAAAAAAAAAAAAAAACTTATAAGCAAAGTGAACAAAAGCTGAGTTAAAGGTAAGAATATTTCTTAGTGCACTTATTAAAAAAGCTAGCATTTATATGATGAAAAAAATTGTCTGATTTTATCGACCTTTTCCATTTTTTTTTTGACATAGGGTTATTATCTTATATAGAGAGCAGGTCGATGCTCGATGCTGTTTGAGTATTCATTTTATTAAAAAAAAAAATAATAATTATACATGGTTTATAATTATAGCTAGTATTGTACATTTGCCTATGTATGTTTTTCTTTCCAGGTGTTTGTGGAAACACTAGACAAGTGTTTTGAAAATGTTTGTGAGCTGGATCTCATTTTTCATGTGGACAAGGTATTGTTAATAAATTCAATATAGAAGTATCAAGAATAAATTCAGTTCAAACTGTCTAATGTCCAGTGTGACAAGATATTGTTAAAATATTCAGTTTAAAAATATCAAAATAAATTCAGTTCAAACTGATTAATGTCCATCCAATTCCTAGTATACAGCAATACAGCTGATAGACCAACAAGACACATGCAACTTATTGGGCATTTCCCTTTCATACAATAAACATGATAAAAGGTCTGTCTTGGAAATGTTTGCATGCAACATTTTGTACATGAATAATTAGTTTTGAAGTGAAGTTTGGGACAATTTTTAATGGAAAATTGATAAATCTGGTAAATGTAAATAAGTGAAATATGAGTTAACTTATGTAATTTTCCATAAACACAATTGATATTTACACATGCAGTTACCTCACATGCCCATCTTGACTGCTTAATTGGACTGAATATGAAAATAAAATATTAAAACCATTTTTTATTTTACTAGAATTATTACATTTTAAACCTCCTTTAAAGTTGGAATACTAAGGACATACGCAAGGTCGTTTTGAACTTTTTTACTTATTTCCTGTATAAGATTGAAGAGTTCCAATTGTGACTTTCATAATGCATAATGATGAAGCACTGGTAAAACTATTATGTTTGATATTTTTTTTTATATTTTTCTTTGAATAGCACAAGAATGATATTATTTTTTACCTCTGGTATTGTATGCATATTTTTTTGTTCAAGAACATCTCAGATTCTAACGGTACTATGATTTTATATTAATTTAGAATATCTTGAAAAATTCATTTCAATGGGTAAGATACATTGTAAGGTACGTTGCATTCGACCTTTACTGTCATAAACTTTTAGCTATTCTAGTGATGGTTTGAAAGAGGCTTTAGGTACATGTAGCAGTTCAATTCTATTTTCCATTTATTCACATGAACTGAATATAATTTTGCTTATGATCACAGGTACACAACATTCTGTCAGAGCTTGTGATGGGAGGTATGGTCTTAGAAACCAACATGTCAGAAATCCTCACCAGAATAGAGGAACAGAATAAACTAGAGAAATCAGAGGTAACAATTATTGTATTTAATCACTGTCCCTCTAAGGGACCATTATTGTTCTCTTTAGTTTACTTAAGTCATAAGGCCCAAGGTCAGTATTCTGTTACAAAGCATCAAGAGTCTGTCTGTCATGGGTATGGTCTGTAAACTTTTTACATTTTTTTACTTCTCAAAAACTATTGCACAAATTTTAGTTGAGATTGGCACCATATATGAAATGCCATGCTTTAGCATTGCTCATAGTTTATTCATTTATCAAGAATAGAGATATGTCTTGGGTGAGCACTGTGGCCCATGTGCTCTTGCTATGTATTATCACTAATTAATATCACTGAAAGCTTAAACATCAGTATTACAGACATTGATATTGATATATTTCCATTTCTATATGTTTTCTCTGTGATAACTCTTTGAAAGTTAGTTGAGTTGATTTTTTTATCATTCTAATGGAATGCAAATTTCGCCAAGCAAAAGGTCAGGAGCTAAGAAGGCCTAATATGCATGTAATTCTGTTTTGTGTTTGACATCAGTGGGCGGGGACTATTGAAATTGACATGTGAGGCCTCCTGTAATTTAAATCTATTAGTCTACATTTTTAAAATCTAAATTTACAATTTTATTTCACAATGAAATGGAAATATAAGGAATCACTGTCTAGCTAGTAGAGTATGCCAGGGACTTGTACGATAGTTGGAAACGTGGGATAATTTATGCATAACCCTAGCATGCCCTAGCATTCTCTACTAACTAGACAGTGATTCCTTAAACAATACCAGGGATATATTGAAGTGAGTTTGTGTGGTTAGAACTGGTTAGATCTTATGAAATCAAATTTCATCTCTAAACAAAAGTCTTTGCTTAGTCCCATTGAGTTAAAGATGCTTTCTTTTTCCTTGTATGTTGTGTTTTTTTTTTTTTTGGCATAGAATTGTCATAATAGCTCAAAATACAGCATTTTTCTTTTTCCACTTAGTAATGATGTCTTTTATCAGGTTTGAGTTTTTGTTTTAAAATTTTTCTTTCAAATTGTTTTTGTGATAATGACTTTTAATGCTTCAATCTTTTTTGGTCTAACTATGAACTTGAACTTAGTACATGTACATGCAGATCTATAATATGAAATACATAATATGCTTCAATCAACTACAGTCAAACCTCGTTATCTCGAACTAAATGTGACCAAGAAAAAACTTTGAGATATCTGACGTTTTGAGATATCGAGGTTTAATTACATAGAAAAAGACAAGCTGGGACCTGGTACTCACTTCGACATATCCATGGTATATAAGATATCGGTGTTCGAGATACCGAAGTTTTACTGTATAATACATTAAGAAACTGTGTGACTGTTTGGAGTATTTGTTATTGATAGGTTTCTCTAATATTTTTGGCCATTAAGAATTAGGTATTAATTAACAGACCTGCCTAACTTTCTGCTTTTGACATAATTTTACTGCTTTTTACCACTTTAAGTTAATAGTTACGCAATAAAAATCAACTTTACTCTTATAAATTTTTTATGCTTAAAAGTAGTATCATTTAGAATTTTTTTTTTATCAAAAACTTACGTTTAATTAGATTTTATGAACGATCTGCTTATAAGAAAAAGAGAAGATAATTAATTAAATGAGAACGATATAGATAATGTAGTATATTGTAAGTAATAATAGTTATCATAACTAAATTAGCTTCTAAATGCATGAAGTTTCAGAAGAAGCAGATGAAAAAGTTTTCGTACTTTAAAGTAGTTGGTCCGATCGTTGTAGTAAAAAATAATTTTTGATTTGTAAAAAAAATAGAGAGAAAGTGAAGCTTACGCATGTGCAGTGGCTTTGTAAAGAAATTGCACGAAGGAAGTCAAACAAACAATCTCTATTTGACCCTGGGCAAAAAAAAAAATCCAGAATGGAAAAAAGACAGAAACTGAAAGCATTGTATTTATATAGGAAGGTACACAGGTGAGTACCAGCAGGAATCATCAGGGCTCAATTGCAATTCTGAACATGATACAAATTATGTCAAACAGTAATTTCACGTCTTTCTCATGACAGAGTTTGTTTTGCTTTGATGTTTGCTGTCATGTGGTCTCACCCATTTAATTATCCGTAGCGTATTTGTTTTGTCATCATGGTTTTTTAGTGGAATTTCTCTTATAAATATTATTGTTAACCAAAAAAGAAACAGTCGTTTGATTTATTTTATACATATTCTATGTATTCAGGTACATTTATTGTGTAAGAAATATATGTGTCTCATTGGACTAGGCGACTTTAACTATTATATGCAATGAATGCTGCAAAAGTCAACTAATTGTGATATGCAAGTAATGCTTCATCAAGAGTTTACAGTTCAAATAATTTTCAGATACAACTCATAGACTTTATGTCAATAAATAATTTCATCATTTCTTAAAAGTTTATAATTCTTTTTTAATTATATGATATACAACATATAGGCTTATTTATATTATATAAAAGCATGGTAAAACATCAATATAGGAGAAAGTGAAGAATTACATAGCTGCCTTAGAAATTCAACCAAAAACACCTTTACAATAAAAAGGCTAGGCAGGTCTCAGTTAAGTTGTCTTGAAAGAGGGATCATTATTGCTTTATCCCATTTCTAAAAGAAGTTCTGTATATGTACTTAAACATCTCGAAGGACTCGCATATGTTTTTTCCTATAAAATATTGATAGGTCTAATTCATGTTAATTGTGTCAAATTATCTGTTTGCAACAAAATTGTGTCCAGGCATTGGTTTGTTTGTATGTTAATACTGTACATGTGTTACGATTACTTCAAGGTCAAGCTGTGATATTTTGAAATCTTTTATGGCCTATTATAACTTTGAAACCTTTGATTTGAATGAATTCAGGCCTGAGTACCATATGTTGTTGCTTGTGAACCGAAAGTTTGTTATGACCCTGAGTCAAGGTCATATCTTCAAGGTCAAAGTCAATGGGCAAGATGTTAGAATTGTTTTAGCCAGTCCATTGAAATATATTCCTCAGAAATTGTTAACCATTGCTGCATTAGAGATTCAAGGAGTCGACAGGTCATATAACAATGGCCAGTGATATAATTTTGTTCAAAATAAAAAAAATTGTGATAAATTTTGTCTTTTTGTTCATATTAAGCTGCTGTTCAATAATTTCATCATTTCTATTTTTAGGCCGGGATAACAGCTGCTCCTGCACGAGCCGTGTCAGCAATGAAAGATATGAATCTTCCACAGAAAATAAAGGACATTAAATTACCAGATCTCCCTAATATTCTGAAAAACTGACCATGAAGACCCTCTAAAACACTGACCATGAAGACTTAAAAAAAATGACCTTCGAAGCATTCTAAAAAAACTGACCGAGGAAGCATTCTAAAAAAAAAAAAAAACTGACCGTCAATCATGATAGACTTATAAGCATAATTCATAATCCTGGATGTTGTGACTTTGTTATGATGTTTTGTCATTTGTGTTCATGGTTTATATCAGAATTTGTTATTCAAAGAAAACCAAATTGAAGTGCTAATTAAATTAACAAAAAAAGTGATAAAACTAGTTTTACTATACAGGAATTCAGTTTGCATTTTTATTTAATATGATATTGTGTTCATGCAATATTGAATACAGCATACTGTAAACCAACTATTATTCGCATCAACTTTAATTCGCGATCGTCAGATTGAAATCAATCCGTGTCGATTAATTTTCGCAACTGAAAAAATATTCTCTTCAATTACAAAGCAAAATAAACACTTCGCAGCGATTAATATTCGTGAGTAACAGTAGGTTGCAAAACTGGTGGATATTTCTTGCACACGACTAAAAGTTGGGTTACAGTACTTAAAAACAGGAGTATGAAAGTAAAAGATATTAAGAGTCATGAAAAGACTTTTTCAGTTTTACGTAGGGGAACAATAAACAAATTAACCTGGAATCTAGAAGCATTTTTTTTTTGTTTTTTAACAGAATTGTTGATAGTAACCTAGGTTCTCTGAAGAAGAAAAGGCTCAATTAACTACAGTCTAACTAAAATTAGATGTTCTGACTCGAACGTAGGTGAATCGCAAAGGAGAATAACTTCTCCCAGAAGAAAACAAATTAATAGAGCCCTGCCCAGCACCAGAACACTTGACCATGTGGTCCAGAATTTGACAAATGTGGTAAAAAATACCCTTGCTTATTACAACTTTGTACTCTGTTTGCCTCTTATATGCCACGCAGCAGCGCAGATTTTCAAAGAATAAATAAGCATATTCACTATAGATTCAACATAGCCCCACCCTAACACCAGATCCCCTGACCCAGGGGCCATGGAATTCACAATTTTGGAATTAGCACACTTGCTCATAACTATGCACTTATCTGCTAAATACCCAGGAGCAGATAAGATTTTCAAAGAATGCATTTCCACTCACTAATGAATCAATAGAGTCACACCCTAACACCAGAGCCCCTGACCCAGGGGCAAAGAAACTCATAATTTTGGAAAAAGCACCTTGTGCATCATAACCATGCATTTAGTATGTTTGCTTAATACCCAGCAGGGGCAGAGAAGATTTTCAAAGAAATAATGTAGTTTCACTATGTATTCAACAAGGCCCCTCCCTAATACCAAAACCCTTGATCCAGAGGTTATGAATTTCATAATTTTGGAAGAGTCATCCTCCTCATCATAACCATGCAATTAGTTTGTCTGCTAAATACCAAGGGGCAGAGAAGAAGATATTTAAAGAATTTACTGGGTATGCATTTTCACCATCTGATTTGCACAGCCTTTCCCTAACACCAGAGCCCCTGACCCAGGCACCATGAATTCATAATTTTGGAATCACCCTTGCTCTTCATAATTTTGCACTCAGTTTATCTGCTAAATACCCCAAAACAGAGAAGATTTCAAAGAATGCATTTTCACTATATTCAATACAGCCCCACCCTAACATCAGAGTCCCTGACCCAGGGACCAGGAAACTCATAATTTTGGAAGAGGCTCCCTAGCTCATCATAAGCATGCACTTGGTTTGTTTCCTTTATACCCAGGAACAGAGAAGAGGATTTTCAAAGAAATAATGCATTTTCATAATATGATCAGTAAAGTCCCCCCCCCCCCCCCTCCTCATTGCTTACAGTACCTCAAGTTTATGTGTTGTGTTTGGAATATTGATTTTGAAACATGTCCAAAGAGCTAGGTTCACTTTATGCATAAAATGGCCCTGTCCTTATATCAATTAATTGACTATCACCCTCCGTCCCATTTCATATATCAAAATAAAGTAGAGACTTAGTGCTTTCATATCTTATAACATTTTTTTTTGAGAATCCAGGTATTGGAAAACAGGCTTTGAGAAAAAGCAATGTTCTTGAATTTTGCAGAAAACATGCGTATTTGACTTCCTTAGAATTAGAATTAGAATATGAGCACAGCCCACGATCCAAAAATTAAAACATGTTTTGTGATCTTCAGAAACAGATCTTTCATTATTTAATTGCATATTTTGGATCAGAGGTTGTGCTCTATATGAAATATTGAAAAAATACCCCAACTTTTGGCCATTTCTAAGGGAATTTAGAGGAAATGGGGAAAATGACGCAATTTATGACGTCATAATGCATTAACTAGAGAGAAAATTACGTCATGTTCGATAGATACACGGCCACCAAGGATCAAAGTTATAAATACTGCATTTTCAACCAAAACTGAGCAGTTTAGATTTTTCAGAAATTCTCAGGGCCAAAAAAGGCCCTATGTGGCTCTTGCTCTTTAACACTGTTGCTGTTTCTGGATGTTTGAAGTACAAAGGATTAAGTAAATAGAAGCTGCATGGGCAAAGAAACACAACTCTTGCACCTGAACTCACCTTTGATTACTTCTAAACATTGCTCTCAAAAGGAAAAAAAAGTCCAAGAGTCTAGAAAATTTCTTTAAAGCAATATGAACTGCAATTTTGATGTCGGAAATTTTTTGTTGCAATATTGTACTTAACTTTTTCAATGACAGAAAAAAAGAATGTTTTAATATAAACTTCTGTTGTTCATTCCTGCGATGGAAGAACTAAGCTTTGACTGAAGCAAAATAACATTAATGTCGTCCTGTACAATATTGATTTTTTATATAATACTACTTGTATATATTCCATAGTGTAGAAATCTTTCTTCTGAAACTATATTTTCATCTAATTGATCATGAAGGTTTTAACATTACAGCACATTTTAACATTAAAATAAAATTCTCAAAAATGCATCTCATATTGCTTTAACTGTTAAGATATATTTAAGATAAGAAGAACAAAACATTGATTTGATGCATACACATATTTATTGATTTCAGGTGAAATGTTACAATGATACTTGAATATAGCACACATGGACACATATTGAATATCCTAATCCTGACTCTCGTGTTGGGGAAAAAATGGAAAACAAAATAAATGAAAAATTTTCATGCAAATTAGCCTTTAAAAATTCCTAAAAAACTGTCTTATATGCACATGTATTTGAACTAATAAGTTATTAGCATACACTGAAAAAGAAGAAAGAAAAACTAACAAATTTGCCAAGACTTTCTTCCTCTTCATCACTTATATAATTGCTATGGTTCAAGGTTTCTGTGTTTATACATTAGTAACATTACACGCCATATGGACATTAATTTAGACAGATTATTCTGTTCTAAAGGAAATATTGGATATGCTTGAAATAAATCCTGTATATATTTTACTTTTTGATAGATATTCTTTGTATCAATATTTCTCTCCAAAATTGGATGATAAATCAAAGCTGCCATGCAAGGATTCGCACTAATTATAATTTAAAATAGATTTGTCGATTTGATGATTGTACAAATATTTGGAATTGTTTTTTAGCTGTCATGTTTGGTACGCAATTTAGACATCTCAAAAGTACCAAATAACAAACAGTGTATAACAATGCAACAAACTTAAAAGAAAAAATATTAAAAAAAATATATTCAATGGTCAATATAACAATCTGCTACCAGCTGCTAAGAATATGTAAGAAATATAGTATGTGGTTCCATTCAATTATTGATTGTAAAGTTTTATTTGTACAAGACTGTTGGTGTTGTTGTTTTTAAAATGATCATCTTTAAAGTATTTGAATTTCTACGATTGACATCACCCTATATTTGACTTCAACACACTTTATAACAATACTAGCACTTCCTGTGTGGGCACCAGTTCATCACAAGAAGAGGACCAGTCAAGCTTCAGGTACCGGAGCACTAACAAACTTCCTTTGGGCTGTCTTGATTATTTTTTTCCTTTTGCTTTTATATCTTTGTTGTTGATAAAGTCAAAATAACAGATACATTAAATACTCAGAAAAAAAGAAGACATATGTTTAAAAAAAATTACAAAATTGGAAAAAAAAGATAACATCAAAGTATATGAAATATGCATCAGTAACAAAGTTGTATCAAGAAACACATGTATACAATATGAAGTTTTCATTAACAATAACCGGGTAATGAATTCAGAGGATATGGCCCTTCAAATGGTATCAAACAACAACATAAAAAAATGTTTTAATGCCCTCTGTACCAAAGGCACCTGATGTTTGTATGGTATGGTACCTCCCCACTCCCTTCCCCCCCCCCCCCCCCCAAAAAAAAAATAAGAAGGTATCTGTGCCCTGTAACAAAGATTATAAATTAATTTTATTGTTATATTATTAAATGATGTGCACTGACTTAATAAACATTCTATTTTTTCTAGAATTACAAGTAACCCTGAATTTCTTCATTAAATATGTAATTCATATAGGATCTCCCATGATTTGTAGTTGGATATGATTTTTATCCAACGAGTTGCGTGTTTTTTTTAACTGTGGAATATGAAATAATTATCCAGTGAGTCATATCCATGGGATAAAGGGGTAAACATGGGATAAAAAGGCATATATCACTGTTAACACATTATATACCCCGAATGCGCCATCATTGAGTTGTCTAAGTCTTTTTTTCTTCTCCGTCAACTTGAAAATGCAAAAATATTCAATTAAATAAACTCAGACATCAATTAAGATGTACTTTTAAGAAAAAAAACGAAGATAAGATCATGACTCTTTAAAAAAAATATTTCATATGCTAAAAATTATAAAATATTACACACTGATCAAGCCCCTTGAATGGTAAAAAATCATTGAATGATCTTGTGAAAGAAATTAATAGAAAAATACAGATATGGTGCTGTTTAAATATAAAATTTACTGCAAACATTCTTTAATAAAAAAAAAAATTGGCATATAAAAAAATCATGAATTCGTATTGTACAATATTTACATGTAACACTAATACAGAAGTTTTTTTTTCACAAAAAACATTATGCAATATTTTATCAAATCTTGAATAAATGCAATACATTTGTAATTTCTGAGCAAATTAAACAGCAATTCCTTTTACAAAGGAAAACAAAGGCTCTAAACCATAATAGATTAATTTGAAACCAAACATGGATTGTTCCCCCTTGGAGTTCTTCAATGTGAGGAGGTTTAATTGTTCTCAGGTACACAGGAACTTGGTAATTTAGCCTGTAAATAAATATGAAAACAGACATTACAAAGTTTTAACATTTTAGATTTTATTGATCTAATCAATCTGAACAGCTGGCAAATGTGGCATATTGATGAAAGTCTATCTCTGTAATATTACTAGTCGTGTTAAATGCCATTCCTGCTTGAATAACCCTGCACATCTGACAAACGTAAAGTTCAATTAATTGAATACAGACAGAATACTAAATATATATTATTTATCTTTGAAGAAATTGGGGTTTTATTGTGGACAATTTTATATTTCTGCTAAATATTTGGCAAGTAAGTTAAAAATCAGCTATAAACTGAAATATCTTGTACATTGCAATTGAAAGATATTATTTATTGTGAAATGAATAACAGGGATTAAAATTAATGGTCGCCTGCTCACCTGAAGCAACTAAATACTGATACAGGTGACAAAAACTTTATAGGGCACTGGCCCGGTTGGCAACCAGAATTTCCTCTATGTCCGCAGTTGTAATAATATCATTAATAAACATAGGTTCTCATTGAAATGATAGTTTTTTGTTACTTATTTAGACAAAATACCGGTAATACAAAATACCATCGACAGCTGTCTACACAATTTTTTTAAAACAAGATGTTGTTATAAATTTATTATTGAATTTTAAATGGTACGTTTAGGTATCTATGTTTATGAGGTGTAATTTGTTTCCTGTTAAAGGTGCTTGAACCTCATGTGGCGCAGTGTTCTTTTTTTTAATATGGGTTAGTAGAGATCATGCTGGGCTAGCAAAGTTTGAAAGTTGGTAGCATTTGGCTAATCAATTTTGGGGGTTAATTTTAATCCCTGAATAATCTTGTTAAAAAAATTTCTCTGAACTTTATTTCTTTTAAGTTGTCAATAAATATTCTGTAACAAATAAAAAGTCATTCATATCAAGAAAACTACTGTTTACAATATTTTTACACCATATCACAGTAAAGTTGTGTTAAAAGAGAGATAACTCTGTTTCTGGCACCCATTTTGAAAGAGGCAAAAGGGACGAAAATATCACATCTACACTAAACATGTAACTATTATCCAATGCTGCAGTCATTCTATCAGAACAATGGGTAATGTATGTGATATGTTTATTAAGTATATGCAATACATACACAAGGTGTCCTTTTTCCGTACTGACTCCAGAAGGTGACCTGAACTTTGTTGGCATTTCCTGTTCTCTCGTCAAAACTCTGGCATTCGCTGAAGGGTGGAGAATACAGGTGAAGCGTGACTGCCGTGTCAGAGTGACTTGGGTTTTCTACGCGATGTAGCCCTATTTCATCTGCACAATCAAAAAAAAAAAAATTAAATTACATTGTACTAGGAGACTTTTCTGGGAAAATATTCATTTTAGGTGACATTTCCAAGAAATTAATTTAAATTCATGAATTTTTTTCTGTTAATTATGTCTGCCATTGTTCTCCAAAGTAGATATTTTTATTCATCATGTTTCATTGTCTGCCTGTTTATTTTATTGGATATTATCCCAAGAGGAGAAGTATAATTTGAGCAGGATCACCATTAAATCTGGTTTCAAGTTTTAGCCTATTTTGAATAACTTTGTTTAATCATGTGTATATTTTCCTGGAAAATATTTCTTACAAAGCTAAAAGCCATGCTTTTGTTATTGAAGGTTGGTGGGTGGGGGAATGGGGTGCGGGGTGCGGGGTGGGAGGCAGCTGGAGGAGGAAACTTCCTGTTGAACGTCAATCAGGGAGGAGTGGGATGGAGGGAGAGGATGGGCATCCAATTCTTGTCACAAGTTTATGGTTTCCAAATCATGCTACTGTTCTTGTGAAAAAAAATCATGAAGTTAGATTTCCAGGAAAAAAAAATCAAATAAAAACCTCACCACTTATGTAAGCCACCTCATTTCGTTTGTACAAATTTTTTCCTTTGGGTGTCATGCTGACCATATCCTCGCTTTCCGACGGCCATTCAAATAACTCCTCCTGAGCATGCCCATCCAGGACCTTCATAAAACAGTGAGCGTTCGCGTGATCGTGGATCGAAGAACCCTGGGATGTGTTCCAACAGAGAACCATCAGGTTGAATTTTCCATTTCCCGTATCCACTAAATTCCTTGTGTACCTGAGCAAAGAAACAAACAAATATCATTTCATTCTCACTTTCTATTTTCTTTTGGTTTCATAATTCGACTTGTCATACATCTAGATTTAATATAAATTTTTCACTTCCATCCTTTAACCCTTTGAATTTTTTAATGCATCAAAATAACCAGGGACAGGTTTTTTTTTTTAAATCAACCATTTGATTATGAACACTCCCCCGAGATTAATGTTCTGAACTTCTGACTGTGGTGAGGGCCCATCCCATGACACAGATTAATTCCAATGCCTTTGGATCTATACAAAATAACAGATCTATAAATGTCTCTGACCATGAATTTGTACAGTAACAGGAAAGGTTAAAATGTATGGCTGGATCAGAAATCAAACCTGGGAACCCTGCATCATTAGTCAGGTGCTCTAACCACTGAGCTACCCAGGCCGATATCCACAGCCAAACATTACATTCCTCCCTCCTTAAATTGTCTTTGCCCTTGAAGACACAACCAAGGTTCTTTTTTGCCCCATTTTTACTTGCAAATCCAGGGGTGTCAACAGCACCAAATTTTGCAACATGAAGGAGAAAATGTATGGCTGGACTAGGAATCCAACCCGGGACCCCTGCATTACTAATGTTCCATTGTTAAAATAATAAATATCCTATGGACCCCGTTTAACGACAGAATGTGTTCTGTGCACTGGCAATGTAGCAAAGCAAACATGGGCTGTAACTCTAACTCAGTGCATCTACTATGAAAAATCCAGAGACTTCCGTACGTCAACAGGGCAGGTAAATTTGAAGCAAGTAAAAAACATTGAAAAAAGTGTTCAATTCTTCCATTACAAATTTTCAAATTTTTGGGTGAAAGGTATCCACAATCACAAAGAGGTTTATGATTAAATTGATAGTTATTTTCAATGCAACTTCATTTATTTTCTCCAAAATTGTTTCAGAGCTATTCTGCAATTTTCTGCTACATTGCGGTATAGTGGAGGCATTCCAACTGTGGTGAGGGATTCTAACTACTGCATTACTAGTCAGTGCTCCAACCACTGAGTTACCCATATTCATGGTACAAACCATTACAATACAAAACACAATCATAAACTTTGTTTACATGATACTGTATTAATTAATATATACCTATGCAAATCAAAAATTGCGAATTTTTTCCAGTCTTTAGGATTACTCTTGTACGATGCCATTAATTGGGTCACGTATTCCACGTTAACATGATCACTTGCAAACACTTTGTGCAGTTCTTTAATTAATTCATCAAGATTCTGAGGAGGAACAATTTTCTTTGGGTCGTCATACATTCTAACTTCTCCCCCGCTATCGGAAATTTCCATCATGAAAAATCTTTTTCACCAACAGCAGTCAATGGATTTCTCGTTGATTTACAGAGAATATTATAATTCCTTGGAACTTTTTTTTCACAATGTCGGGTTTACTATTAAAGTTTTCCACCCCTTTCTTCACGAAACAAGAATTCTAGTCTAATCTAGATCAGTTTTTCACTTCCCTAACGTCAGCAACGACCTTGACCTACTTGCACGCTATTTTGTTTACTTATTAACTCATACACATTTGGCTCGCTTTCTTTTACACCCCCTTTAAGTCTAACAAAACTTTCAGTTTGGCATTACATCCTAACAATATTGACAATAATCTCAGTGTTTATTGAAAAAAAAAAACAACTTACAGAACACATCAACTTCTTTATTTTATATTATAAATAAATAAGACTTCTGCGTGCCCTTTTTTGACAGGACAAACTAAATGCTTTGGCCTTGGGCCAAATCATACAATGGGTTTCAAAAATATACCTTCATGTGTGCAAAACATGTTTATTTTCCAGCGAAAAATATATATACAAGGTTCTGTTCATGCGATATAGCACATAATTCATTAAACATGTAAATGAAATAAATTCATACGAAGATATTTTAAATGTTTTAAATTCCAGGGCTGGTTTTCACAAAACTATGTCTATGATAATCATAAGATTCACAAAACTATTATACACGTATCAAGTGATAGACAAGTCTTAAGACATGCCGCATGCTCTCCGATTTCCTTGGGCCATCGTAGAAAATAAAAGCCCATGGGCCACAATGCTCACCTGAGTTACGATGGCTCGATCTGCTGTTCTTCAGAAAATTTTTGAAAGATGTTGATATTCCCTTGAAAAATTGCGACCCCATATTATGGCCCAACACTAACTCTTATGGATCTCTGCATCAACACACCAAATGGATGCTTCAATATCAATATGCTAACATGGCCTTGCAATAATGGAGAAGAAATCATGCAGTGTCTTTTCCTGTATACAAAACATCATGTCAAATTTGATACTGATTTTAGGCAAATCTTACCCGGGGCCCAAAGTTAGAAAATTAAATTCACACAACACGGGAATGTTTACAAATTAATGGTTTTATTGTGTTTATAAATTTAGAAGACTAAAAAATCTTTTATAGTTCCATGCAAAGCTTTGGTCCCCTAGCTATGATGGCCCCAAGCTAGCCCCCGGAGCCATGAGTTGAACAATAAAATCTACACTGCCCCATGAAGCCTTCACATAATTTTTCTAGTCCAGTGGTTTTGAGAAAAAAGATTTTTCAAATATATCTTAATGTAAAACTTTCATTCTCTATTGTGATCACTCCCGAAAAGGCCCTGGTGGTCATGATTGAACATGCAATTTACAATCAGTAGTTCTTGGGAAGATTTTAACAGATTTTTTTTAATGTACTTCAATGTTCAACTTTCATCCCGTATTGTGACCCCACCTTTCCCCAGGGGGTCACGATTTGAACAATTTAAAATTTACACTTCGTCAGGAAGCTAGCTCCCACATACATATATGCGAGTTGAAATGAACACATATTCTAGCCCAGTGTATTTCTAAACATTTTCCATTGATATTTCAATGCAAAACTTTTATCCCTCATTGTTGCCTCACTCTTACGCCAGGGGTCATGATTTGAACAGTTTAGAATATCTACACTGCCTCATGCAGGAAACTTTAACATAAATTCCACCGTTTTTGGCCCAGTGTTCTTGGGAAGAAAATTTTTTAATGATCCCCCAATTTTTGCATTTTCTTGATTATCTCCTCATGAAGGAGACAAGGGCCTTTCTTTGAACAATTTAATATCCCCTTCACCAAAGAAGTGTTTTGTGCCAACTTTGGCTGAATAGGTCCAGCGGTTTGGTAGAGCATTTGCTGGAACCGGCAATGTATCTTTGATTGTAAGGATTTTGATGAAGTTGATGAAGTTTAGGAATCCTATGGAAGCCCATTTAGGACCTATCAATTTTTTTTTTAATTCGATATAACGAATTGTCGAATTTGTTTGAATGAATTTAAATCGTTATAAAAATTTATTGAATTCGTTTTACCGATTTAAATTTGTCACAATTTTTTTTGAATTCGCTGTAAAAAACAAATTGAACAAATTAAATTCATTTAAACAAATTCTAAAATTTGTTATAACGAATTAGGGTCGTTTAATCGAATTCGACAGTTAGGGCCGATTGAAAAGTATTTGAGAATTCGTTACATCGAATTCAACAAATTTGTTATAACAAATTTAATTCGTTATAACGAATTAAAAAAAAAACTGTTTTAACGAATTTAATTCGACCTAACAAATTTTAGAATCCGTTTAAACGAATTTAATTCGTTATAACAATTTTTTGAATTCGTTGTAACGAATTTAATTCGATATAACAAATTTTTGTTTGTAAGGACATGTAAAACTTAAATTTAAAGGTTGAAGGTAATGAACCGTGACCAATCTCACAAATCCAGTACACAAAACAAATCTCGAACAGCTTACGATGGCCAAATATACAGCCACGGGTTTTAAAATTTAAAAATCTTTGACGTCACATATGACTTGAGAATACGATAATGTAGATCGTTTCTCAAATTAGACACTATATATCAAATCTACCTGTTTTCCATATACTGAAACGCTGACAAAAGATCTTAAACAAATAAGCACAATTTTTTTTCTTGAAACCGCTCCCCCTTTGATTTCCAATATCCTAATCAATCAAAATATTTATTTTTTGAATGTGACATGGTCTTCATTGCTGACTTTTTGAGACGATGTGATTTGAAAATATGACAAAAGTGCATGGATTGACACACTCTCTACCATCGGCTCATACATTCACCTCTGTCGTTGGCTCGCGTATATCACAGTGATAAGCACGAGAAATAGTGCGTTTGTTTAAATTCATTATAATTAAATGTCTGCACTAATGTTTCTCTTTTAAGGTAGATATTTACTAAGTATATCTAGTACTATTTGTTTAATTTGAAATAATCCTTGGAATGTTATGATTTTTACGTTATGTCAAAAATCTTGACGTGAGCCCATCGCAGAGGTGTCTGAGAGAGGAACGAACGACAACTCTGCATAGCAGATTGGGATCGACAAAGAATTTAATGTTACAGAGGCGTTTTAGTAAACAAAGATTTCGTGAATATTTATTACCAAAAGGTATTAAATCTCCTTTAGACGAATGGTATAGGAACTTGAAACGATCTATGGCATAAGATGTCCTAAACACCATTCATACCAACCTATTGTTGTAAACGATGTTCTGCTATCATAAATTTAATTGTCAAGGTATCCAAACTAATTGTCTTTTTTTCAAAAATATTTACATTGTTTTGTTCCATGTGTGACCGGAATTTTTTTTTATATTCTGTTATTATCAGAATCAAAATATCTTTGGCTTATATTACACAAAAATGCATGTATGCATGTGTGCCAAGTAATGATGCATTCAGACCAAGTTAGGATCATATCAATCGACATAACTGAAACATGACTCCTCTCAAAGAATCTTTATAATAGCACATCATTGCGTCTATTGTCTGAGAAATGTAGACAACCTTTATGTTGGTATTACCCATGACAAAACACTGAATATTGTTGTCAAGAATTGGAGGAATAGAATGATGTGATCCAAATGAAATGTTTTGCGTCATAAATTTTAGAAATTTCTTATTTCCTCGGTAAGTAATAACTTAAATGTATAAAAAAGAAATAAAAACTTTTACATTAGTGCTAGAATTTTAACTGATTTTTTTCTGAATACCAATCAATAATTTATTACGGATTAAATAATATTAAAAAGTTATTCACATAATCGTGTCTTTCCCTTCCTACAAAAAGATAATATATTAATTAATCTTTTAGTAAAAGGATCGGTTTAAGTGCTTTACGTACTTAACCCTTTGTCCTTTTTACAAAGAAAATCGTAGTTCCCTTTCTAAGGAAGAAATTCTTCAAAATCATATGTCAGTTTTGAATATTTTTAATATTCCAAACAACCAAAATGAATTTGAATTACCATATATATATTGGATTCCGAAACTTCATAAAAATCTTTACAAACAAAGATACATAGCGGGTTCCAGTAAATGTTCAACCAAGCCTCTTTCTTTACTCCCCCACTAAGATATTAACAGTGGTGAAGGAGAATCTTCAAGAGTACTGTGCAACAATATATTCGAGAAATGGTGTAACTCAGATGTGGATACTTAAAAATTCCAAGGAACTTTTGGAAAATTTGAAATCACAAGATTTTACCAAAATCAACAGCTTAAAAACTTATGACTTTTCTACTTTATACACAATCATTCCCCACGATAAATTAAAGTCCAGGCTTTTTGATATAATTGACAGCTGCTTTTCAATAAAAATGGAACTCGTAAATATACTTACCTTGTCATTGGTCATTTACAAAATTATTTTGTTAAAAAACATTCTGATTGTACACACAAGTACTCTGAAGTTGACATTAAAAAGATGCTTGAGTTTCTGATTGACAGTATCTATGTGGTTTTTGGAGACCAGGTCTTCCAACAATCTATTGGAATTCCCATGGGTACCAATTGCAACCCGTTATTAGCAGACCTGTTTTTGTATTCATATGAAGCAGAATTTGTCCAAAATCTTGTACGTAAAAAGAAGAAAACACTTAATTGCTGTGGCCTTCAACTCGACATTTAGATATATCGACGATGTATTGTCAATTAATGGCTATTTCCATTTTTATGTCGATATGATATGTCCTAGTGAGCTTGAGATAAAAGATACCACAGAGTCTGACACATCTGTTTCATATTTGGATATTTTACTTGAAAAAGACGTTAATGGTAATCTAACAACCAAGCTTTATGATAAACGTGATGACTTTAACTTTTCAATCGTCAACTTCCCTTACTTATGCAGCAATATACCTTCATCACCTGCATACGTGGTATATATCTCTCAGTTGATTCGATACGCAAGAGCATGCTCTACGTATGTACAATTTCTAAACCGAGGTAAATTATTGACAAACAAGTTGATGAAACAGGAATATCAACTATCTCGTTTAAAGTCATCATTTCGTAAGTTCTAATGTCGATACAATGACCTTGTCAGCAAATACAATTTATCATTGAGTCAAATGCTGAATGACGTTTTTCATACTAATTGTTAGGCCATTATTTACACACTGAATTGTCGACGGATTTTTCCGTTATTTCCCGATCATGACAAGGAGCACACGGCGGGTGTGAACGGTCGGCAGGGGATGCTCACTCCTCCATGGCACCTGATCCCACCTCTGATGTTTAGAGGTCCGTGTTTGCTCTGCTCCTATTTTGTATTGTTTAATGGACTTTTGAGCCTGAATACTGTTCGTTATCTCCATATATTTCATGTAGTAATGCACTTACAAATATTCGAAAGTATCTAAGATATCCAGTAAGTCCCAGACACTTTAAACAATTGTGCAATAGCGTACATGTACCTATATAAAAAGTACTTTTTCTTGTAGAATTGGTAAAAATTTAAGGTGACATTAATATGTTTCCATCATGGCTACTGCAAACAGTCCGTACATTTCAACAGAAGGGACAACAAATGCTAACAGGGCGTGTCGACTTTTACTTGGTCCCTGTACCGATCAACTGAGAGATGTTCTTCGCAAAGAGGTTCCACCTTCTTCATTTGTCGTTGAAATTAGCAAACAAAAGTATAATCTTCCTAGATTAAATCCCGAACAAAGGGACCTGATTTTACCACACGGTGGGTCCTACTCTGGAAATTATGATGACTTTGATATTTCACTGTTGTACATTCTTTTACGGAACATATGTAACATTACACCTCATAAAAATGGTTGGGGAAATGTCCCGGATGTAAATGATTCGTGTCTTTCTGCAAATATCGAAAAAATACGAGTTGTCCGAAACAATACTGTTCATTCTGCAAGACCTACCCTCGCAAACAGTGAATTTAATGATATTTGGACATCAGTTCGAGTTGCAGTAGTAGAAATGGATACTTTTCTTTCAAATGGAAATTACTATGAGAGGGAAGTTGACATTTTGAGACACACAACAATGGATCCCGTCCAAGACAAGCACTACAGAGACCAACTGACCAAACAATATGCTGATGATCAAGATACTAAAGAATACATTCGTACTATTGAGGGTATACATAAATCTTTTTTAAAATACAAAAATGTTAATGTAATATACAAAGATGAACTTGCAACAAATGTTACAAAAAATCCCAGCAAATATAAAAAGCCGAAGAAAGAACGGAAATCATAGTCTATTTATATGTATTACATGTATATACTTACTATTGATATACATGTATTGTTGATTTAAAAGAATATACCCCAAATCAAATTTCCGGATCATTGCACTTTGTTTTTCTAAATTTTATTTCTCTTTAAGAAACAACGAATGTGTTGCACTTTTTGTGGAAAATATAGAAAATATAGTCAGTATACACTTAAAATTTCCTCTTGTTTATATCTACAAATTACGCCTTACCACTGCCAGACTACTATTTTCATTTTAGAAAACATTGGAAGTTACCAGAAAGAAACAGCCGGCAGGATAAGTCACATCGAGGGTTAGTTGTAGTTTTTGAATGTCATTAAAAGGTACATTTGTATATTTTTTTAAATTGTTATAGTTAGTGCAAATCGTCAAAGAAATACGGACAAGGTAATAAAAAAATGAAATCAAACTTCAGGGTTGATGACATACCGTCGAATATAAAAGAACACACAGGGCTTGGGGCTTTTTATTGGCTACTTCAAAACGGAGCAAGGACAGTTGCTAAATACTAACTTATATAAAAAAGAAAGTTACGAACATAACAAATAAATGTATATTTGTCACGTGGTCAAGCTGGCTATCTCCAAAAATCACACAAATTCAACTAAGTTTTAATAAATTTATTTACAAAAAAAAAAAAGAATAATAATAATAATAAAGAAGATTTCAAACAGACAACCACACTCTGATCCACACTATTAAACCAAAAAAAAAAAAATAATAGCAATTGGTAACCAATAATCAGACAATTAACCAATTAACCCCGGGTATAGATTTCACTCAAAGTATCATTGCCAAACATGTTCACCGATCCATGATTATCCTTGTCATAATCATCAACATCATCTTCGTCAACATCATCATCCTCATCCTCGATGCAGGAATGAAATCATTAGGTTTGCCATTTCGTCAGTGTTCGTATAACGAGCTAATACAATGTTACGTGGATTGACTTATCTGTATCTGTCCACCCCCAGTGAATCTTGTTCCACACACAGCATCCTTCCGGGCCTTAGTCCTGGAACCTTTCGCTGTGTCTCGACGATCCCCTCAGCTTAGTGCATGTATCCAGCACATGTCATACCAGTGTCCTTGACGCTACAATGACGAATATTTTTAAGTCACATGTTTCACTAAATAATGTTTGGCAACACTACTATGTTTGGCAATTCATTCTCATAAATACATAAATCAATCAATAGGTATAAATTATAATGGTTACCAGTTAACATAAGTCAAAACAAATTATTGCCAACATGGCGCACCTTACTTTCGACTTCCGGTCATTCACTTCCGCCCAGACATTTAAACCAAAATTTAAATGGACAAAATATTTCACATAATGTAACAAATCTGAATACAAGAAAATTGCGTACAATAGCACCTTTAAACTCTATCGATATAATACAAAAGCCATTCGAACACTCTCGCTAACCGTCACACCTGACTGAACAACAGGTAAAATTGTGAGAGCTGGCCAAGTTCAGAAATAAGAACGAATACGTATTCAGTAATAAATTTACTTAAAAAAAACTATATACATAACGAATATTAATAATATTATAAGTAAATACTTACCACGGACCTGTCTCCGTGCCAAAGTCAAGATACTGATTGTATGGCAGCTATTTGCATGTACACTTAGAAACGTGTCTGCAGCTACGCTTCTCTGCCGGGAATGACCAGGCCTCAATTGTTCTGGTCGGCCAAGCTATTTTGCAAGGGCTTATGGGTAGATGGGGCATAGGGACAAAACGCGGGAAATACAAATAATATGTACAAGTATAATAGTGATTGTTACACACCTCCCCCCTTAGTTAAAAAAATGGTAACATTTTTTTTTAAACAACAATCACTACCAACTTGTCCTAACAATTTTAAAATAACTAAACGTATTTACAAAATTCTTAATACAAACCTGACTAATTTGTCCTTAGCTGATTATTGGCGACTAAGGTAATCGGCACCTACGTTTTGGCTTCCCTTTATAGCTTCTATCCGGAACCGATAAGGTTGTAATTGTAGAGCCCAGCGCATTAACCTCGAATTCTCTGTTTTGGACTTGTTAAGGTATGTTAATGGCTGATGGTCGGTTTCCAATACAAACTCACGTCCATATAGATATTGATGGAACTTCTGAATTCCCCATACTACTGCTAAGCATTCCTTCTCTACAACAGCGTATGACTTCTCTCTGGGCTGCAATTTTCTGCTTGCGTAAGCCACTGGAAGCTTTTCTCCATGTTCCTCCTGCAAAAGAACTGCTCCTAACCCGTCATCAGCAGCATCTGTTCGTAAAATGAATACTTCACTGAAGTCTGGAAGCTTCAGAATTGGCTCTGAGCACAACATCTGTTTCAGCGTATCGAATGCACGTTGTTGATTATCTGTCCAAACTACTTTGTTAGGCTGACCTTTCTTTGTTAAATCTGATAATGGAGCGGCAATGGCTGAAAAGTTCGGTATGAATTTTCTGTAGAATCCTGCCAATCCCAAGAACGATCTAACCTGCTTCTTTGTCATGGGTACTGGTGCACTTCGAATAGCCTCTATCTTGTTTGACTCTGGTTTCAGTCTCTGGTCACCTACTACGTGTCCTAAGCAGTCGATCTGATCATATCCTATGAAACACTTAGACGGTCGTGCTGTAAGTCCTGCTTTCCTAAGTCTGGTAAATAACTCTCTCAATGTCATTAGATGTTCTTCCCACGTATCTGTGTATACGATTATATCGTCTATGAAGTTATCAACACCGACCATGCCCTGTAAAAGTTTCCTCATGAGTCGGCTAAACGTCGCCGGGGCATTAACTAACCCGAATGGCATAGTACGAAATTGATACAAACCAGACGGTGTTGAGAAGGCTGTGAGAGCTTTACTTTCATCTTCCATAGGAACTTGCCAGTATCCTTTACTCAAATCCAATTTTGAGACGTACTTCTTCCCTGCCATCTTTGAAAATATACTTTCTGTGTTCGGCATAGGCTCAGCGTCGAAAACAGTAACAGAGTTTAGTCTTCGAAAGTCTATGCAGAATCTGTTTGTTCCGTCCTTTTTCCTGGCTATGACTACCGGTGATGAATATGGTGAAACAGATGGTTCTATTACATTCAACTGTAACATCTTCTCCACTTCTTCCTTTATGACACTCTCGGTATTGAAAGGAATAGGATACTGCTTCACCCGTATAGGATCTGATGATGTCAGTTCAATCTTATGTTTCACTAGTGTAGTCATTCCTGGAACGTCAGTGAGAACATCAGCATACGACTCACACAAACATTTCACCGATTCTAGCTTATTCGCATCCAGTCCTTCATTGAAACGTACATCTGACACTGTTTCTGTCTGAGTATCTGTTGGTAGCATCATTAAATTCTGCTCATCCGGTGTTCCCTCTTCGCTGAAGTCAATTAGTGATATGGCGCAAGTTGTTAGAACCCCACAGCGTATTTCCTCACGAGGAATGTACTTTTTCAACAAATTGGCGTGAAGTGTCTTTAGTTTACCATGCATCTCAACTTTGTAATCCATATCGCCAACTTTCTGTACAACTTTGTAAGGTCCTCGCCATTGCATCAGAAGTTTATTTGACTTTGTAGGAAGAAGAACAAGTACTAAGTCACCAACTTTCATCCTTCGATCAATTGTTCTCTTGTTATAATGTTTTCTCTGGTGCTTCCTTGCTTTTTCCAATTGTTGATGAGCAATCTTGCAAGTCTCTTCAAGTTTTTCCTTTAAATCTAGAATATATTGGTATGTAGTCTTCACCTCTTTGTCTGGTATGTCCTTGGTCCATAGTTCCTTCAGTATCATCATTGGGCCACGCACTGATCGACCATATAGAAGCTCAAAGGGTGAAAATCCAAGGCTCTCTTGAGGTATCTCACGATAAGCAAAGAGTAGTGCGTTGAGGTACTTGTCCCAGTCTTTAGGGCGTTCAGCACACATGCGCTTGAGCATCTGCTTCAACGTGCCGTTGAATTTTTCAACAAGGCCGTTGCACATCGGATGATACGGCGTTGTAGTTAGGCGTTTGAGTGACAGCAATCGGCTAACTTCTTTCATAACTTCAGATGTAAACTGTGAACCCTGGTCTGTAAGCATTTCAGATGGAATACCAACTCTACTGAAAACGTCTACAAGCGCTTCTGCAACTCGTTCAGTTTCAATTCCTTGCAGTGCCACAGCTTCTGGATACCTGGTCGCATAGTCTATAATAGTGAGGATATATCTATTTCCTCTGTCTGTGATTGGCTGGAGTGGACCAACAATATCCACAGCAATGCGTTGAAATGGTTCTGATATCATGGGCATTTGTCCAAGAGGAACTGCAGGTACTTTTCCCTTAGGTATTGTTCGTTGGCACACGTCACATGAACGACAAAATCGCCTGACGTCTGCTTGTACTCCTGGCCAAAAGAATTCTGCTAGTATTCTGTCTGTGGTCTTCTTAACACCCAAGTGGCCTGCCATAAGACATTCATGAGCCATCTTCATAACCAGTGATCTGTACTTTTTCGGAACCATAAGCTGTCGATAAGTCTTTCCATTTGACACTTTTGGACTACTGAATTCTCTGTAGAGTAATTGCTTCCGTATATACATCCGAGTTGAACCTCCATCACCAAGCTCCTTTACTGTCTCTTGTTTAGCAAAGTCCCAACTCTTGCTTAATGAATCATCCCTCATCTGTTCACTTAACATCTCATCCCGTGATACATCTTGTAGAGTTTCAGGAACCCTCAATGGTTTATAAGGTAACTGCTTTTTCTTTAGTTGGCTGAGTGTCTCAACAGCAAATGAAGGTTTAGTTGATTTCATCCAGTGAATATCCGGGTTGTCTGGTTTCCGAACGCCATCAAAATTTCCAAGAATCAGATCAAACATTGGTGTTTCAAAGCACGATACTTCAATTGTTCCAGTAAAATATGGTGTGTCAACTTCAACTATCGCAACATCTGCATCTATTATACTTCCGTCAGCCAGCATGCATTTGTGAGTTTTTCCAGTCATTTGGTTTGAAGTAACCAAGCTTTTCCGAATCACCGCACCACGACATCCGGTATCTCTTAACACTGTCACAAGTCTGTCTCCAACACATCCTTTCACCACTGGCATCACACCATTAGAAACGGAATCAATGTCACTAATGTCACTTTGTAGCCATGGTTTATGGGCACCAACAAAAGAAGAATCATGTTCTTTCCCCTGTGAAAAGCGACGTCCAGATCTGTTGAAGCTCTGTTGTTGCTCACTATAGCGGGATGGTTTTTGTGGTCTGTCAGATTTTTCCAGAGTGTTTGCTGTCTTGGTTGCGGAAGATTTCCTTAAGGGGCAATCAAACTGCTTGTGTCCGTATTTGTCACAATTAAAACACTTGACTCCACCACTGGGTTTGCTACTGTCACTAGTGCTTGGAAAGGAGAATTGCTTTCCTATGGAAACTTTCTTTTCGAAGATAGGTCTCTGGGTAACAGCTGATGAACTAGTTGCTCTTGCCTCAACAAACTGATCAGCATATCTGGCCATATCCTGAATAGAAGGAGGAATTCGTTCTTTCAAGAATAAGGAAAGTTCTTTGTTACAACACAAAATAAATTGTTCCCGCAACATCAAGTCTTTGAATCCTTCATACGTCTTATTTGTTTTCGCTAATTCCATCCACCTCTCCAGATAACTTTCGATTCTTGTTGAAAACTGAAGAAAGGTTTCACTCCCATCGGGTTTTGAAGATCTGAATTTCTTTCTGAATCCATCCTCAGTCATGTCGAAACGTTTCATCAGTGCTTTTTTAAGTTCATCAAAGTCCAATGCACTATCTGGTGGTAATCTAGCGAACACGTCCAACGCTTTTCCTTTTAGAAGTGCACTCAAGTGAGCTCCCCAGTTTGTTCTTTGCCATTTCTGTGAGATAGCGTATCTTTCAAAGCGTTGTATATATGCGTCGATGTTGTCTTTTGCCTCATCAAATGCTGGTAGTTTTGGTCCTCTAACAGGTTGTTGGGTTTCAGGGTGATGCAGGGCTGTAGACTCAAGAACTTTCTGTGATCTTTCTGCTGCCAACACTTGAAATTTGTGATCTATTTCCATCTCTTCTATTTTTCTTTTATGTTCAGCCTCAGCGTTTTGCTCTCTCTTGATCTCCAATTCTAGTTGAAAGTCACGTTCTTGTTTAGCCATGCGTTCTGCACGATCTTTTTCACGTTCATCTCGGAGTCTTGCTTGTTCATTATTCACAAACTGTTGAAGTTCTGCATCCTTGAGTCCCATCTGCGTCCCAATTTCCAAGAGCTCCTTCATCTCCTTGATGGTAGACATCGTGCCTATAATTACTGTGCCACCTTACCAAAACTTTAATAATCCAAGGATAATATACTTTCCAATTAATAAATATGTCTTACACCACCTTACCTTTGACCTACTTAAGAGAGAACCATTCTTTCACTTACCTCTATCTTACTATGTACAGGAATCTCAAGACTAACTACTACTAGAGCAACCTAACCTATTTACATCTACTTGGCAAACCTTCACCTAGATAGTGAAAATGTGTAATTTGGAGAGGGTCAGCAATCCCACCGCTGCCACCAAATGTCACGTGGTCAAGCTGGCTATCTCCAAAAATCACACAAATTCAACTAAGTTTTAATAAATTTATTTACAAAAAAAAAAAAGAATAATAATAATAATAAAGAAGATTTCAAACAGACAACCACACTCTGATCCACACTATTAAACCAAAAAAAAAAAAATAATAGCAATTGGTAACCAATAATCAGACAATTAACCAATTAACCCCGGGTATAGATTTCACTCAAAGTATCATTGCCAAACATGTTCACCGATCCATGATTATCCTTGTCATAATCATCAACATCATCTTCGTCAACATCATCATCCTCATCCTCGATGCAGGAATGAAATCATTAGGTTTGCCATTTCGTCAGTGTTCGTATAACGAGCTAATACAATGTTACGTGGATTGACTTATCTGTATCTGTCCACCCCCAGTGAATCTTGTTCCACACACAGCATCCTTCCGGGCCTTAGTCCTGGAACCTTTCGCTGTGTCTCGACGATCCCCTCAGCTTAGTGCATGTATCCAGCACATGTCATACCAGTGTCCTTGACGCTACAATGACGAATATTTTTAAGTCACATGTTTCACTAAATAATGTTTGGCAACACTACTATGTTTGGCAATTCATTCTCATAAATACATAAATCAATCAATAGGTATAAATTATAATGGTTACCAGTTAACATAAGTCAAAACAAATTATTGCCAACATGGCGCACCTTACTTTCGACTTCCGGTCATTCACTTCCGCCCAGACATTTAAACCAAAATTTAAATGGACAAAATATTTCACATAATGTAACAAATCTGAATACAAGAAAATTGCGTACAATGGCACCTTTAAACTCTATCGATATAATACAAAAGCCATTCGAACACTCTCGCTAACCGTCACACCTGACTGAACAACAGGTAAAATTGTGAGAGCTGGCCAAGTTCAGAAATAAGAACGAATACGTATTCAGTAATAAATTTACTTAAAAAAAACTATATACATAACGAATATTAATAATATTATAAGTAAATACTTACCACGGACCTGTCTCCGTGCCAAAGTCAAGATACTGATTGTATGGCAGCTATTTGCATGTACACTTAGAAACGTGTCTGCAGCTACGCTTCTCTGCCGGGAATGACCAGGCCTCAATTGTTCTGGTCGGCCAAGCTATTTTGCAAGGGCTTATGGGTAGATGGGGCATAGGGACAAAACGCGGGAAATACAAATAATATGTACAAGTATAATAGTGATTGTTACAATATTTAATACATGTACATGCAAAATGAACGAGTGTAACTGCATGAAGTTTCTTTTGTCACTTAAAGTTTCTCAATAATGTCATATAAAGTGAAAACATGTATAGTTTTTATGGAAGCATCCTCTTTTTGTTTGTCGTATACTGCATTATGTCCTTATAGAAGGAACATTTCTTAAAATACAGACCTGTAAAACTATTTCGATTCTAGTCAAATGATTCGGTTTTATTTTTTGAAGAGCGAATGGTTTCCTTAAAATGTAGAGGGTTTCCCTTTGATATCATAGCACATACCATTTGTCTAACTGAATTGTGAAAATAACGATCAGTAATCGTGTTCAAAAGTCCAATGAAAACAATTTAGATTGTAAGTAGAGGAAACACAGACTCCTGAAAGCGTCAGAGGTGCATCATACACTGTTGACCGGTCACACCCGCTGTGTGCCCCATTGTCATGATTGGGTATGCAGAAAAATCCGTACATAACTCAGTAGAGAATAATGGCCAAACAATTTGTATGAAAGACACCAGTCAACATTTAACGTAACATAGATTGTATTTGCTAACAAGGTCTTTGTATCGACCATAGAGTTTTTGAAAAGTTGACTTTAAACGAGATTGTTGATACGCTTGTGTAATCAACTAACTTGTCAGTAACCCGTCTCGTTTTAGAAATTGTTCGCACGTAGAACATGCCCTTGCGTATTGATTCAACTGAGAAATATGAACACCATATGCAGGTGATAATCATGTATTACTACGTAAATAAGGAAATTTGGTAAGACAAAAGTTGAAGTTATAACGTTTATCAGGAAATTTAGTTGTTAGATTGCCATCAATGTCTTTCTGTAGTATTCACGTGCAAGAATGAATAGATGTGTCAGACTTTGTGGTGTCTTTTATCTCGAGTTCAATGAAATATACCAAATCAACGTTTGAATGAAAATGAATATTATTAATTAAAAAAGTTATTTAAATATACAAGTGAAGGCCACAACAGATTTCAATGAATTAAAACCACAATCTTTTCTTTAACTAAGCAAATCCGAAAAACAAGATGCAATTAATTTCGAGATTGCTGAGGCTTAAGCAAGGCTTACAATTGAAAATCAGAATTTGTAATAATGTAATTCGTTTTGATTACTAAAAACCAAAATAATATTATACTGTTTCTATTCCACAGAAACTCAAAAAGTATTAGAGGACGAATTACACATTTCTTCCCTAATACAGAAGCAATTCCAGTATGATCTAAAAGAAGATTTACAGAAACACAAATCAACTTGCATACCGGAAAACGTCAGAGGTAATTATTTCTAATAAGGGTCAGTTTGCACAAGGGTCCCATGGCCCACAACGCTCAATAACTATGGCCCTGCTATTCTTCTTCATTAGATTTAAAAATATTTTCCTCTTTGATTTCATTAAGATCTTGACTTCATATTGTGAACCAATACCTATAGCGCCATGATTTCTTCAGAGTTGAATCCACATAAAGTTGGAATGTATCTGTAAACATGACCCCACCATGGTTGAAAAGAGTTTTCCTATTCATAGGCATTATGTAGAATTTGGACCTTTTATTTTAGTCCAGTTTTAACTCCAGGGCTCATAATTGAAAAATGAAAGCATACAACTTGAAAATGTTCTGCTTATTAATATGATTTAGTGTGGCCTTGCCATTCCTGAAATGTTTTTCTCTACATACACCCTAGTAGAACTCTGATCCCCTATTGTAGTCTCAACAAATTCCCAGGGTCCCTGATCTGAACAAACTTGAATCTAAATTATTTGAGGACGCTTGTAAATCAATATGAGTAATCGCCATTTTCACAGTATTTGTGTTTTTTCATACTCACTTATGTTATAATGCACTCTGCATCAAAATATATGATTAAACCCTTAACAATTATGACCAAATTTTGACAAAATGGTACCCCTAACAAGTTAAATGATATATAACACTCCCATGTTCTAGACAATAAAAATATTAAAGATTTACTACCTAAAATATGGGGTATATTTTGCATTATGCTGTTGCAGCTGAAAAAAGGCTTTGTTTTCCAGTTTTTGTTTCAGGAGATTTACTATAGAAACTCTTACTTATAGATGTCAAATCATTGTGAAAGTATCCCTCTTTTATATGCAATTTACTGTATGTAAATCAACAAAATCTTAGCGAAATAATGTTTAAATATGTGAAAATGCAGATACGTTATGAAATTTAATAAAATTCTACTGTTTGAACTTGCAGTTTAAAAAAATATATGTTAATGCATTACTCTTACTTTAGGTTCATTTTAAAATTAGAGTTAAATGATAAATGAAACAATAAAGAAAAGTTTGAGTGGATTCTTCGAAACTTTAGAAAATGACACATTTTCTTCTTATTGGCATAAAAATGTCCCAAAATTCTGTAGTGTCCGCAACATGTGCTTATTCTGGAATGCATTATGAATTATATTTCTTTTATTTTACATGTAAGAGGCCAGTACAGCTACTAATTTATCTACCAAAAAATATCAGGCTTTAGCTCAGTGTTGCTTGGAATTCTGGCAAATATATTGTGTTTTGTAGAGTCCGCAACGCTGTAGAGTCCGCAACAGCTTTTTAAATTCACAGTTTCTTCAAAGAAATGTAACATGATTTCAATTGATCATCACTATAATTGTCCAAATATTCAATACAAATATGTAAGGTTACAAAACTTAATGGAACTATAACTTCATACTTTGAATAACACCCATAACGACTTGTTTATACATAATATTCAAAATCTTTCAATTGTCAGTCTTATGTTATATAATGAAAGTTAATTTTCATGTGGTATTTAAAACTGAATAAGTGGAAACTAAAGAATACATCAAGATGTTAATTGTTAATTAATAAGTCTAGTTCTCATTAATACAGTTGTGTTGCGGACACTACAGTAATAACTATATACCACATTTATTCATTATTTTCACTTTTTATTTCATTAAATATTTTTGAAATGTGAAACACTTCTCTGATATTTTGCTCCTTTGATAATACAATTAGTTAACTGGATTAAGATAACAAATGGAGATTTTTGTACAAGATAACACTTCAAACTTACTGATATATATATATGTTTTATTTTCCAGGCTGGATAGCCATTTTTGACTAGCCTTTTTTATTTCCCTATAATATAACACCATTTACTGTACATGTAGAACTAGTTAGAGATTAAGATTTTCAGTTTACTCCATTAAAACCAAATATGGTGTCAAATAGCAATATTTCAATATATTGTAGTGTCCGCAACAATTTCAATACTGAAAAAAAAAATTATGGATGCCTTAGTAAATTTTTTAATTCATTGAATTTATCTATTAAACTATTTGTTATAACTTCTTTAATTGTTTTAAAATAAGTAAAATCATAGACATTTTTTAAAACTGCAAAACAATTATACATCAAGAAATAATTAATGGTCCTTGTTATGTGGTTATTTTCATCTCAATAAACCACATTCTGCATCTTTTTATATAATACATTTTCAAGAGTTGATCCGGTGGTATATAATTCAGCCTAGAAATGAACATTTATCAACAATTATTTTTATAAAAATGACAAAAGATTATTCTTATGGTTACTTGTAGTGTCCGCAACAAAAATGCTATGCATTTTCAAAGCTAGACAAGATACAAACGAAGATATCCAGGGGGTTATGACAAATGTATTTGAAATTTAGAAGTATTCAATTTAATTTTCACATGATAATTATATAGGTCTTATGTGTGATTGTAAAGGTATATAAACTTAAGGAAGGGAGATAAATTAGGCAAAAAAATTAGCAAGTCATTAATGTGAATAAAATTTTTGTTTTCAAAGAGAACCATAAGATTTTTCTTTTATTTCACTGCAATTAGGTACATAATCAAAACCCGCAAGAAGTTTGGAATAAATAAATATCTTTAATATTTTATTTTAGACATAACAGGTGTAATGTAGTGTCCGCAACACAAGGTCTCGCCCAAAATTTGACTTTGCATAACTTTTTTCGTAAGAATGCTTATATAAAAAAAAATTGGGACTCATTTGCATAGGTATTGTACTTTCTAGAAAACATGTCAATAATGTGCTGTTTGACTTTTTATTTTTTTGGTCCAAGTGCAACACAATTAGCACAAATACTGTGAAAATGGCGAATACTTGCTTTTTTGTTTTTAGTAAAGGAAGACTTTCCTCTATATTTCCATGCAAAACTTTTTCTTCTATCGTGGCTCTACCTTACCCCGGGGGTCATAATATCAAGATTTGAACAAGTTTCATAATGACTTTGCTGCTCTTGAAAAGAAGATTTTAAAAGGTTTTTATGTCACCTGAGTCACTCAGATGACATTTTACTATCTGATTTTGTCCGTCGTCGTGTGAGTGTGCGTCTTGCATAAATTTTTCACATTTTAAACTTCATCTCGAGAACCATACGACCAATTTTAATCAAACTTGATACAAAGTATTGAATTGAAGGGAATTAAAGTTTGTTCAAATGATGAAAACATTTTTCCACTTCCAAGGGAAGATAATCAAAAAGAGTAAAAAAAATTAGGTCGGATCATTTAAAAATCTTTTTCTCAAGCACCACTGGGCCAGAATAGTTCAAACTCAAATGAAAGCTTTTGTCGTTGCATATATTAAAATTCGTTAAAATCATGGCCCCAGGGGTCGGGTGGGGTCTCAAAAAAGAATCAAATTTTACAAGGTATAATAAAGTGTGACAGGAAAGGAGAAAATATATAGCTGGACCGGGAATCAAACCCGGGACTCCTGCATCACTAATCAGGTGCTCTACGGACTGAACTACCCAGTCCAATATCCAAACCATTACATTCCTCCATCCTTAAATTGTCATCACCTCGAGGATACAACCCAAGTTCTCATTTGCCCCTTGCGGAACTTTCACTTGCAAGGCCAGGGGTGGTCAACTGCACGAAATCTGTAACAGGAAAGGAGAAAATGTATGACTGGACCGGAAATCAAACTCGGGACCCCTGCATCACTAGTCAGGTGCACTACCGACTGAGCTACCCAAGCTGATGTCCACAGCCGAAACCATTACATTTTGAGCAGGATAGGAGAAAAATGCGACGGACCAGACAGGGGTTCGAGCCCGGGCCCTCTGAATCTCAGGTGCTCTAACTGAGCTATCTGGCCACCGTTGACCGAACCCGTCTGACCGCCACAATTTTTTAAAAAAAAAAAATCTTCTTCTCAAGAACAGCAGGGTCATGATTAATAATATCAAAATATGCATGTGTAAGCATCCTGAGGTACTACAGATTCAGGTTTGTTCAAATCATGGCCCCTGGTTATAAGGTAGGGAAAAATGAGGGATCAAATTTAGATAGATAGGAAAATCTCTAAACATCTTCTTATAAGGAAGAACAAGGACATGATTACATGTAATCATATTAATACACAAGCATCGTCAGGTAGTGCAGATTCAAGTTTGTGCCTTGGAGGTAGCTTTAGGATTGGCCAACAATTTGGAATCAAACTTTCAATTTGTTCAAATCATGGCCATGGAGGGTAGGATGGGGCTAGAATTGAGTTTTACGCAGGAATAAATGAAAAAAATCTTTAAAAATTGGCATCACAAGAACAATATGATCATTATTAGTCATACTAATATACAAGAATCCGCAGATAGTGCAGATTTATGTTAAGGATCTTTGTGTTTACTCATGGACACTAGCAGAAAAACTGTTGACATGTTTACAATGATCACTTACTATTTACCTAATTTGTAGAATTCATGCCCGCTGGTCAATTTTAATAATCCAGGCCACGTCTCTTCTTCTAGAGGAGGTCTAGAAATGTTAATAGAACGGTTAGAATACGGTGCAAAATTTAGGCTCAGGTAAACTAGTTAAAAGATTTAAGCCGACAGAACACACTGTGCCCTACAAAAAAATTGTAGGCAATTCTATGCTCTACCTAATTTTCCATTGAACAACAAGTATTAAAAAAAACAACAGATAGTTTAAATGTATCGATGAAATGAAAGCATTTATTAAACTCGTTATCTGCCCCACCCCCTCCATACGAAGTAAGTTGTTTGCTGGATTTATTACATCAGTCCATATTTCCAGTTGACCAGTTCTCACTCTATACGCAAGTATGTTAAAGCAGCACTAAGAGAATTATTGGAAAAAATATACCTTTTTATAAAATGTAACATTGATAAGTCGGAAAAGCCATAGATGAAACATTTACTATATTATTATCAACTGTATAGACGTCAATTAGTCTTAGGCTAAAAGAAGCACTTCACTTCGACGC